TCTTTGTACTTTGGATCTGCGCCGGTGAAGCGGTATGCGGGGAGCAGGAGGGGCAGCGTGGGGGATGTGGTCAGAATGGGGTGCCAAAGGAGGGAGGGGGCTGAGGGGTGTGACTGAGCCAAAGTTTCAGCAACAACGGCAGCCCGGCCAGGCCCGGCCGAGGCGACCGGGGACCAGAAGTTGAGGAAGGGAAGCGGATAGCGCGCGAGGACGTAAAAAAAAAAAAAAATAAACGGAAAAAAAGTTTCGCGTTTTATATTTTTTGCCACTTCTTCTTTGTCTTCTTCCGGGCTCTCGCGCGGCCGGCGCTGGAGCGTGATGGGGAGTGCAGCGCCGCGACGTGGACGTCGAGAGGGGGGCGTGGATGTCGCGCCACTGAGCGGCCGGCAGACGGCAACACCTGAGACTTAAGGGCCTTATTCTATTGGCCAAAGCAGAGCCCGTTTGGCTTCTCCCCCTTCTTCTTCTTCTTCTCCTGGCCACTTCGAATCAAAACCCTTCCGAGATTATTTGGACCAGTGAGAGCAGTCCCTCCTCCCTCCTCCCCTTGCCAGCCACCCCAACCAGCTCCTTCTCCACCAACTGGTTTAAAAAGTTACAATTAGATTCGGAATCCCCAAAATCGTGTGCAAACTGGACGAGCGGATCCACTTCACTCAACTCGTAGTGTGAGTGTGTGTGAGGGGGGGAGGAGAGAGAGAGAGAGAGAGAGAGAGAGAGAGAGAGAGAGAAGGCAGGGTGTCACGCACGTCCTCAGCGAAGACCAAAGAAAGAGAGAAGAAGCACGGGGCCGGGAGCGAAAATAAACGGCAGAAAAGGTGCAAAATTTGGAACCCAGGTAAAATGCACTTTGTATATGAGTGTATATGGCTTGTATATATTTGTATACAATTGTATATGGTGCCATATACAGCGGTATATAACTGTATACAGCACTATATATATTATATATGGATTTGTATATGGCTATATATGGCGTCATATACAGTTGTATATGACACCATATATGTCCATATATACGACAATATATGGTGTATATAGCGCTATATATGGTTATATATGGCTATATGTCTATATATTGTCCTATATATGGGCATATATGGTGTCATATACAACTGTATATGGCGCCATATATAACCATATACAGCGCCATATACAGTTGTATACAAACATATATTGTGTCATATACAACTATATATAGGTCCGTATATAACATATATTGTACTGTATATAGTCATATATGACACCATATACATACTGTATACGAAAAGTATACAAGCCATATACAGTTATATACAAGTGCCATTTACCTGGG